TCTTTCTTTCTTTCTTTCTTTCTTTCTTTCTTTCTTTCTTTCTTTCTAAATGTTTATTTATTTCAAGAGAAAGGGCAGTGAGGGGCAGAGAGAATGGGAGAGAGAGAATTCCAAGCAGGTTCCACTCTGCCAGCTCAGAGCCTGATGCAGGGCTCAAACCCACGAACTGTGAGATCATGACCAGAGCCAAAATCAAGAGTCAGATGCTTAACCAGCCGAGCTGCCCAGGTGCCCCTGAATCCATTTCTTCTTTCCTGGTTCTGCCTCCATTCTGGAGTGTTGTCCTGAGTCTCACTTTGGATTGGTGGCTTTGGTTATCTGACCCTATAAGCTGATTATAGAGACATTTTCCTAAATCTTTTTATGAATCTTCAGAATGCAGCCCTTAGTGTACAGAAGCTTGCTGTCTCAATTAGAAAGAATGTACCTACTGTTGTGGACATTTTCATATTTCCTCTCAGCTATCTATGTTTCTTTTCTCAGTTCTGCAGCATATATCAGGGAGCAGTGAGTAGTTGCTCTGTGTGAACCTTCTCTGTGTCACTACTTCCTTTGTGAGCTGAGGTGGAAAAGAGGGTTTGAGTGCTGCCTAGTGGACTCAGTTCTGTAGAGCTGCTCTGCCCAGCATTGTAGCCACTAGCCACATACATATATAAAAAGTAAATGTAAATTAAACAAAATTAAATAAGATAAAAATTCAGGTCCTCCCTCACATTGGTGACATTTTAAGTGCTCAGTAGCTGCATGTGACTATGGTTACCATATTGGGCAGCAACGATATAGAATATCTCCATCATCAGAAAGTTCTCTGGGACCATGCTGTTTTAGAGCATTTCTTTCCCTGTAGCCTGACAACACTGGAGATTCCAGTGTCTTACGTTGTCTTGGGATTGAAGCTCAGTGAACCTTTGGGTGGAACTTGACTGTCTCATTCCTCTGAGGTCTTTGGGTTGGGTTACACCTGCAGGTCAGCTTCCTGCAGGACTAACCTGATCCCTTTACGGAAGGATTTGAGGGTAAGCATAGAGAAGACTGGCCAGTTCTGGGAAAGCTCCCTCACAGTGCTAGAAATGCCCTATAGTCATTTTCTACTGCTGACATAAAATTACCGCACACTGAATAGCATAAAATAGCACAAATGTACTATGCCATAGCTGCATAAGTCAGAAGTACAACATGGGTCTCACCAGGCTAAAATCAAGGTGTTGGCTGGATTGTGTTCCTTCTAGCAGCTTAAGGGGATGGATGATCTGTTTTCTTGCTCCTTCAGGTTTTTGATGGAATTCAGTTAAGGTTGTAGATCTGAAGTCCCTATTTCTTACTGGCTTTCAGCTCAGGGCTGTTCCAGTTTCTAGAGGATGCCCACAATCCTTAGCTCCTAGTTCTCTTTCTCCATACTCAAAGCCAGTAAAGGCATGTTGAATCCCTTTCACAATTCTAATGTCTCCTACACCACCTTCCATTACATCTCTCTGACTTTAGCTGGGAAAGGTGGTCTGCATATAAAGGCTCATGTAATTAGATTGGGCCTACCCTGTTAATCCAGGATAATCTCTCCATCTCAGAATCCATAACTTTAATCACATCTGCAAAGTCTCATTTGCCAGGTAAGTAACATATTAGGGCTTAGACATATTTGGAAGGGGTGCTACTTGGTTTATCACTTGCATCCAGAATAATTCTTTACATGTTATTAAGCAAAAATACCTTATTTGATTTGTAGCTTATTTGAAGAGGATGATTTCCATCTTTGTTTAAATGATATTATTAATTTTCTTTGGAGACTAAACATCAGGGGAAGACAAGAAACCTCAGGAAAGGAGGAGAGAAAAGGGAGAAATGGGGAAGGTGACACCTGGAGAAAAATCTTTACTTAAACAGCATTTTATATTGCTTTCCACTTGGTAAAACACACTACACGTAATAGTTCTATTTGGAGTTTATTGATAAAATATCACCAGAGTATCTCCGAATTAACCACTTACTCATATCTCATCTTTTAAAAAGTGAAAAAACCTATACAAAAGTGGTGTTATAATCCTGAAGATAAATATCTGAAATTGAACAATGTTAGAATAATCTTACTAAACTGTAGGTACTTAATGTGATATTTTTAACAGCTTTCCCACGTATTATGTTGCTATTTTTGATTCTTATGAAATGTCAATACAATCTATTTGATTTTAATATTTATTGCCATTCATATATATATATATTGCCATTCATGTATATATATATATACTTCTCCATTCATTTCTAATTTAGTACATAAAATATTATATGAATGAGTTTAACTTGATTAGACTGTTACCTATTTTCAGTATCATACAGTGTGATACTCTACTTTGTAATAAACTATATAAATTTTGAGAATGAATGTAGCATTCATCTTTCTCATCTTTCACTTTTTTTTTTTTTTATCTCATTAGCTACGAAATCTTTCCAGCTTGGACCTACGTCATATCACTGAACTGGATAATGAAACCGTGATGGAAATTGTCAAGAGGTGCAAAAATCTTAGCTCTCTCAATCTCTGCCTGAACTGGATCATAAATGACAGGTAACCATTGTAATATATTGAAAACAGTTTTCCAGAGGGAAACATGTGTTCTACTGACCAAATACTAATTATCATTATAACAAGGCATGACAATTTTAAGGAAAATTTAATGTAGCCATGCCTTTTGAAATAGATATGTTTAATATTTGAAAACCATCTAGACGTATACTTTTAATCCATCCACTGCTTATATTTACAACAAGGTTTTATGCATTTTGATTCAAATGTTTGCCTAAACAGTTATAACAGCAGTCTATTGAATTTTTCTTTGTCACCCATCCAGGATATATTGTTTGTTACTTTAATATTTTTGCAACTTTTGTGCTTGATTTACTGTTCACTTATTAAGGAGAATGATTCTAAGAAATGATTTCAAATATTATGCATTCAGGTCCTTTCTCAAGGATGACATTTTGTTCTCTGCATCAATATAATTAGTTTTAAAAATGGAAGTCACGTGATGGACAGTTTAATACATAGTGTTAAAAATGTATAAAATGGGTAGTTTTCTTCTTGTAAGCAATGATAAACCCATTTTTCTTTGAACTATTGCATGAAAGAAAATTAGATGGAGGAGCCCTTGAGAGTAGACTTCTTTATAATGAAATCAAATGTGGAGTAGGACTATTCTGCTGCTAATGATTAATGTAGGTAGGTTCTGAAATACAGACAAGAGACAAGATGTTGGTCCAGTAACTTTGAGGGATAAATTTTGTTTTTGTTTTTTTTAAAGATAAGCCACCAAAAATATTTTGCTTTCAGAATAGAAAGTACTATTTCAGTTAAAATTAGTACCTATTTAAATTTAAATACTTTTACATAAATAGGATTTATTAAGTTTGCATCAGATAATGTTTTAAATCAAAATACTTTTCCCTTCCTCTTTTAATTTTGTACTTAAAATTAAAGCTACATGGACTCCATTTCCCCCCATTATGGTAAGTTCTAGTGACAGTTTTGTAACTTAACCCGCATTATCCTTACAGTTATGTGATAGCCTTTGACTTGACTCTTTCTTAGTAAAATTTTTCTTGAAAAATTTTCTAATCCAGATCACATGGTCATCATTTATAAAAGGTATTTATTGTTTTTGAGTAATAGTTTCCATATAGGGTATATTGAAATCTACAGAAAATTGATAAAAATATTTTTTAAAAAAATTCTTCTTTATAATCAACATTCTTCTACAGTCAATTTTATGACATCTTAAAATAATCTTTTAAGTGTTTCTCATAACATCTAATAAGATAAAGTGCATAAGGAAACATCCTGTGATGTTTTGCCTTAGTTTAATATTGAGATAAACTACTTAGTAATACAAAGAATTAAAAGGAAAAAACTGTTTCTTCAACAAAATGATTATGAAAATGATTTCCTTTTATTCCACAACAATTTTCTGTGTAGCTGACATATGTGGAAGAATCAGTAATTAAAGAATACAGAGGTAAATAAGAAGCAGCCCATGTATAATTAGAAAGGTTGTCTTCTAAGTAAACATTTTGCTTAGGTTTATATCATTTAAATAAAGGTATTTAGGGATTTCTAATCTTCTGGCTCTTCAAATGCTTATTTAGTCCTAACTGGATATTTACAAATGAGAACATGGGCACCCCTCACTTTGTCTTTCCTTTCCTTTGTTAGGCTCCATCTTTTCAAAGCTCTTGCTATTTCAATAATTTTTTTTCCTACTTAACTGTAATGGTTATTTGGTATTTGATCCTAAATATATGTACTGTAGAGATTTATTTGCAAGGAATGAAAGTGTATTTTTATGTTTTTAATGGAAAAGTTTGGATTAATTGAGAAAACATGCATTTTAATGAGGCTGAGCGGTAGAGTTTTAAAAATCAGACTCTTTTAGGTTTTAATTACACTACTTGCACTTATCCTGTGTACTGTAATAGAAGTTTCAAACATTAAAACCCACTTTGCAGTATCATCTAAATTACTCATCTCATTGTTCTTACCATACTCTATCACTAAGCTAAGTAATATTCGTAATTATATTGGTATAAATCTAGGACTTCTCGTCAGACTTAATTATAATTTCAGCACTTAGCCAAGATGGGTTAGTAACCTTTCATATAGAGGGCAGTGGAATGCACTAATGCATTTAGCCTATCAATTAGCGTCTGTTTTACATTTGTTCATTATTATTATCCTCTAGTAAATCAGGAAGCATTTATTAACCCCCTACTAAATACTTGGTACTGTGTCTCTGACTGTAGGGCACTGAGTCCCTCGTGCTCTCAAAGGTTGCTCTCTTTAGGTGACATAAGACTTAATGAGTGAGATAGATAATAGTGAGCCTTGTAAGGAGAGAAGGGAGGAAAGTAACCTTTACTACCCAGGTAATTGATAGGCACTTTATACATGTTCTCTTTTAATTCTTTCAGATCTTTTGTTTAGTGGAAGGTCATACTATTCCTATTAAATTTAGACCTTTGTATGATTTTTCTTTAGCTTTTCCAGCAGATGTATTTTTCCATCATTGCTGCATTAAAAACTGGGTGAGGACAAATGAGAAAAAGCACATGGTGGCTAATGAGTCAATTTTCCATTTCATAGTTGGGATTCACACACAACTGACATTAATATGTAAATTTCTTAATTTTTAAAAGGACTCTCATTATTTTCTTTTCTAATAAAAGTATAATAGAAACTTTAGATGTTGTTTTATATGTAGTACATCTGAAAAGGATCTATGTTTAATGCTTCTAGCCTTAAGAAAGGAATCCTTACATGAAGATAAACTTTGATATTCAGAACTTTACACATAAGATTTATCTTGAACTTAAAAATTCTTATCTGTAAGCTTTCTTTTGAAGTTCAAAAACTTAAAATATGTAGTAATTGAAGGTCTTTATTGTTATGCTCTTGGTATCTTTTAGCATTTTTTGGTTCTTCTATCGATGTGTGTGACTAAGACATGCTGTTCTTTATCTTTGTTTTTCTAAAAGAACTTTTTGTGTTTAGAGAGTTAAACAGCATGATATTTTCTTGTATTCAGAAGGATGGTCTAGTAGTCATTTGACATTTACCATTGCTTTTGAATACAAATAAAATCTAAGTGGTTTATGAAAAGAGGACACTATTTCTATCAGTGACTTAAATTAAACGTCTGGTTGTTATATCTACCCTACTCTCTCTGACTCTAAGTTTAGTGAAATGTTTATTTGTATTTGATATAAATCTTTCGTTATTTCACATCCAATTTGGTCTTCTTCGTTTTTGTATGTTTGGCACAGAGTCTAAAAGCAGCATGCTGTGGATATAACAAACTGATATGTAAAAAACTGAACGGTTCTGAGCATCTTTAGTGATAGCTTATAATGGCTCTTTTGTTCCTTTTTGCCAAGAAGAATTAAATGAAATCTACTTGATTTTAATAGATCTGTACAAAAACTATTTAAAATTTTTAAATTGGTTATTAAAGACGTAATAAATCTCCCATTTTCAGTTTTTAACATTAGTCTTGAAAAAAGTTCAATCGCATGATATGTATACCCATTATCAAATATATGATCCACTCATTAACAGTTGACCATGCTTGCTAATGAATTAGGATAACAGTATAAGAGAAATGAAAATTTCTCTAGCATCTATCAGCTAAAGTCACAAAACATAATAAATACCAGGTTGGTTGTTAAAGTAAGTTATGTTGCCAACCAGTCGAACTTGCCTAGCTAGCGATTTATGTTTTGAATTTGCAGTTAAAAAAATTGAATGTATTAAATTTGTTGAACATTAGTAACTGAGAACACTTTCTTTAAGGAGTTAATTGTGCTGTGTGAATCTGCTATTCATGTAAAGGAGTTAATTGTGCTGTGTGAACCTTCTATTCACGTCTATTCTATCAGTGGACATTCTAAAATTTGGAGAATTTTAAATCTTAGACTATTGTGACCGATTTCTTTCAAACATAAAATAGCATCTATAATATGTTAACATTTCACTTTATATGTCCTAGTGTTTAGAATAGTAATTATGGATAGTTGCTCTTTAAATGACACTTTTAAATAAGTTGAAGCTGCAAACTGGTGGTCTACAGCTGAGTCCAGTCCATAAAGCTGCTTTGTTTGGCCTATAAAATATTTAAAAAGTTGAACTAGTTGCCAACACCTTAAAAATTGGAATAGTTCACATAAAAATTATGAAGTTGGGCTCTCTGTTGGAAATTTGCAGATCTAGCAACATTGGACTCAGTCTTTCTGGGAAGACAAATAGGGTATTCTCTCTGGCGATTCTCCAGTCCTCCACCATTCCTACCAGGCGTGGTACTTTTGTACTTTTTTTTGTATTATCTGTCTATCCCCAGTCTACAAGCTGAAAATCAAGAATGTAGAGGTTTTTAAAGGGTATTTCTTATTTCAAAACAAATCGTTCTTTTTAAGTCCAGTCTGATAAACTATATTAACAGACAATAGAGAGTTAATTGGTCTACTTAAATTAGTTCTTCATTATTTTAGGCATCAGAGCTTTGGCCAAAGGGTAGAAGTTACAGCAAGAGACAGAATTCAGCTTAAAATTAGCTAAACACTTTAATTTCATCCACTGCCATCCAAAATGGACACTTCCACTCAGTGTTCAAACAAGAGTGTTCTAAAAAAAGTTTCCTGAATTACAAAGAGAGCTGAGCTAGTTTATTAAATTCCCTCCAACTTCAAGGCTGTGACTTAAAGTTACTTATTTTAAAATGAAATGAATTTATTTCCAGTGCTCAGTATTTGAATCTTGATTTCTTTGTTTATAGCATTGAGAAAAATCTTAATACTATTCTTTCTCCTCTTCTTCTGTGGGTAGCCCTATTTAGTCTTCTAGGTGTACTTAGGTTGAGGTTGTAGAATGACAGATTACTCCACCACCCCTTTGAGGGAGACTGACAGCGCCCTGGCTCATGGAAAACTCAATGAGGCTTTCTATAAAGATTTTTCTAACTCCCTTGATCTTCTCTGGATGTTTATTCTGTTTCTTCTTTCAAATTTCCGTTGATTCAATAA